CTGCTTTTGCATTTTAAAGATGTGAATTTCAGTTAGGTAATTTGGAGTTAATTTTTTCTAAAGTTTCAACGTTTATTTGCTCTTGGCTCCTGTTGCCTATACATGAATGCTTATTTTTTCCAACTAGCCAAACTATAGTGCTCCCATCTGAATTCTTCAGACCATTTGTAGCTATTTTCTTCTTTCTGAAGAGTTATTGGTGACTGGTTCCCTTATGATGCAGCTGATTCATTAAGCTGTCTTTAAAAGTCTTTCCCTTTATACATAAGAGTCCTATCCATAGAGTGATTCTAACACTGCAAGTGGCCTGATGCACTTAACATAATGCTTTCAGTTCAGATGTGTTGTGCACAGTTTGTCATGCTGGTTTTGGCCATCAGTTGACTTTTGTTGAAGAGAAAACTTGCAGATCAGTGTGGAATTTCTGTTGGCAAGCCAGGAGGGAAAGATAGTTTTTCAGAGCTAGCTGTGGGTCCCAGAATCTTTCATGTGAAGATGCCTCAATGTAAAAGAATTGCTCTACTTAAGACCAGAGATTCAGTAACATATGCCAAAAGCTGATACGAGTGAATATGAGTTAGGAAAATTCAACCTTGCCTCGCTCTGTGCCTGCAAGTGTTCCTTTCTTTGTAAGGTGTTTTCAGAATCTCTTTGTGTTGGAAGTAGAGAGCGTCTAGTTTACCATTCAACTCCTTCATCAAGGAGTCAGTGTGGAAAAAAGATATTCTAAAATCATAATATGACAAAGTTATTTTCTCAAAATCAAATGCATTCTTATCACGGTATCATAGCAGTCAAGTTCCTGTGACTTCCCTCGTCCATTTGGTCACGTTTAATGAATGTTTATCTGAGCGGTGACCAAGATAGAGATATGATTCAGAATGGGAATGCCTCATTTCCTTATTAGCTGTTCAAAATACTGTTAGATCAACACAAGCTGATTTTTCAAATGTGCTCCTGAGAGCAGTCCCCATTTACCAAGCTAATTGATACGTACTCCTTTATTCTGTACTGCTCCAGCTGGCCCTTCTTGACCAGACTGGCAGTGCCTGTGCAGCATGAGGTGTTGAGATCTCCCTGGCTGGCTGCAGAGGCCCCTCTGTGCTGCTCTGCCTTCCCTGTATACCTCTTGTCCACTCCAAGGGTTCCAGGTGACCACATGGGCCTTCCTCATAAGCCTTCCTATGAGTTGCATTTTGATACATTTTCATGAGAGGCTTTTTGTTTGTTTTCAATTCTGACCAGTGTAGTGGAGTTTGGCTTACAGTCTCCTGCACAAAGCTGCCTTTTACTTTTAGGTTCAGGAAGTGCTTGAATTTGTTCACGAGGGTCCAGGTCTCCTTTGAACTCATGGGACTTCCTTGAGTTTGGAACATTTTAACTTTTAAAAAATTATTTAGGAACTATTTCTTTATAATGTACTCAGCTATAACAAAGGAGGGTTGCTTCACAGCCTTTTCTGTTTGTATTTATGATGCTAAGGTGTATACTGTGTGTAGGTGGGCACAAAAATGAGGTGTTGGAAGAGTGCAAGGGCTCCTGGAAAGATGTTGAAATGCTAATTTGTTGGCAGGCAGAAGAGCCAGACTGATGACTAAGCAACACACTGACTTGAGTTGGGGAGAGATGTCATTCCCTACAAAATGTCCATACCAAGAATGATATACCATGCACTGATGTTCTGCCTTGACAGAGAGCACTTTCTGGGCTTGCTGCCTCCCTTCTGTCCTCATTGTTCTTTGGTTTTGTCTCCTGTGTAGCCCTTTACTCTCTGGAATCCAAGTGCTCTCACTCAACAGCTACAGTTCCCAGCAAACTGAGGTTCTAACTTCAGCTGGGAATCTTTGTTGCCTCTGATAGAAAAACTTGTCAGTGTTGGCCTTGGTTGTTCCACTTCTGTCCGGAAAGTGGTCAACCTCTGATAGTTATTGTTTTCCCAGTTAAAATTAATCCCTTGATTTCAGTGTTTCTGGAATACACACAGCCCATGGAAGGGAATGTGGTTTACCCAGATGAAGTGTAGCATCGGTGTTGTTGCTTTAGCACAGTTATTTACCTTTAAAAATGTGCAGCTAAATAGTACAGAAGGCTGTTTGTCTGCCTTGCCCTGTGCTGCTCTTGGGGTCAGGCTGCACCTTCAAGAGGAAGGGGAGAGAAGCACCTTGCTGAGATCAGCTGAGCCTTCTCAGCTGGGGGAGCTTCTGTTGCGTGGAAGGAGTACGCAAGGAGATTACAGAAGGGGTAGAAGGCAGTTCTGTTAAGAAGAGCATGGAGCAGACTGTAGCTAGATCTTCAAGGAAAGGAAAAGAAAAATTTTTCCTAAACACTGTAGAGACTCTATTATATGTTGCCACCTAGGCCATCATTGAAAGGATCCTGTACTTAAAAGTGAACTAGAGGAAAAGGACCTGCCCTGTCAAGACAGTGTGAGGAAGACAAGGATTTATTTTTTAAAATTTTAAGTTAATCTCCTTTTCTTCTGTTCTGCCTTATTTTAAAAAATGTTATTCCTGATTATATTCTGCTAGAGCTGGCATTGAGTTTAAAAGCTCTTTTGATGGTTTTCATGTGCTAGCTATAAAGAGGAGGTCTAGAGGGTCCTACCTCAGAGCTGTTGCTGTCTTGGAATCCCATTTAGACTTTCTGTTTTTAGAAACTTCACTGTCAGTTTTTTTTTACTTAAATAATATCAAGACCCCTTGTCACTATAACTGACTACTTATGAATAAAACACAGTATCTGTTTAATTGGAATCAAATCAAGTTGAATTCAATCTTGAATTAGAATTAGGTCTTCAAATTGATGTAAAGTGTAACTGAGAAAGATATAGAAACAATTGTGTAAAGAAAAAAATATTGCAAATTTAAAATTAAAAGAGATTTTGACTAAAATTTTTTAAAATCTAATTTTGCATCTGATTAAGAATTTTAATACAGAAATCAAATTATTACCTCATATTTGAATCAAGTACTGTAAGTCTTGCTTTTTTCTTAGACATGAATATTCAATGGAGACAAGGAGACCATCCTTTCATTTATGCTCAGCTCTCCAAAGTTAGATTAGTTTTGCAGACTACAGCATTTTAACAAATATAGTTCAAAGTCAACCAGAGATAATAATCCTAAACTTTGTTGGCATGGAATGCTTTTTAATAAGGATCTTTATGAAGCATATTGGAGGGGTTTGAAGTCTGTTGGTTTTTCTTCCTGGTTTCTGCTATTTGGAGCCTTGTCAATATTCCAAGTTGTGCACCTGCAGCAGTTCCATATACTGCAAATGAAAGAAGTTAAGATGTCTCTCAGATAAGGAGACAACTGCCACCCATTCCTCTGTGATGGTGCTGTATGGCTGAGAATGTCAGAGTCGAGTTTTCTAGAAACCTTGCAGTCTTCTGGAACTTGGCAGGGTTGCCTTTGGAAAATTGTGACCGTTTCCTGGCTGAGTGCTTTACTTGATCAGTCTTTAGATAAAGGAAAGGTCTCATCAGAGGCACATGTTTTCCATCAGTTTTACTTGTATACTTTCTATAAAGGGAAGAGGCACAAAGTGTTTGGCTTGGGTCTTCACACTCAGTGTGCAGACAACTGCAGGTGCTTGACAGGAGTACTAAATCATCTTCACAGATTGGGGATTGTGGCCTCTCAGCAGCTCTAGTCACTAGAATTTCTGAAAAAAAAAAAAAAAAAAAGGAGTGTAGGCTGGGGTGACAGCAGAAAATCAATATGTACTTGTCTAAAGAAATTTTGAATATCAGTCTGCAATTATTGAGAGAGAGAGAAAGGAAGGGAGTTAGAGTGAGGGAGAGAAAGAAAGAAAAGGAAGTTCAATATTGCTCTATCATAGTGTTTAATGTCAGGTCATACATCTCTCATTGTTTTTCTTTGGGATTTAACTCCTGAAGTAAAAATGATTTTGTGCAATTTTCTGTTTTTTCCTGAAAAGTTAATTTCAGCCCTTAAGATTGGAGAGATGCTTGAAAATCGATTGGGAATCACAATTCATATTTCAAGAATGAGAGGAGATATAATAACCCCAAATGTACTATTCTAGTGCTAGTGCCATAAGTTTGGGGAAAAGTCATTACTTTTTTTGTTTAAGCTTTGGCATTCAACTGTTCCACAAATATGATAAGGCTAACAGTGACAAGGGAATTTTAAAATTATAATACCAAGGAATGAAAAGCCAATCCTCCCTCAGCCCACTAAAAGAAGACAGAACACCTTTTTGTAGCCTAAAAAATTGATTATTCGATTATGAAGTCATTCTGTGTTGTTATAAGTTAAATTTTTACAGATGGATATACAAGATGTTTCTTGCTTTATGTGCTGCTCCCCTGGAAAGCATAAAAATGAGTGTTTAAAAAAAGTTTCTTGGTAATTTTGAGTAAAGTATGTCTGTTGGTTAGGTGTCCTGGTGTAATTCCAAATAGAAAATTACATTTCCAGCCCAACATAGCAAAAAACAATTAGAGTAATGGTTGTAGCATTTTTATTTGGATCTGGTTACTATTTATCCGCTACCCTAATTTTGCAATATGATTAACTTAATGTTAAAACTTCATATATTTTACCAACAAGTAAACACACACAAAAAAAAAAATCAAACTTTCAAGTTTTTCACCTATGGGTCCTATAGATGGCTGACACTACTGTAACTCCCACACATAAAGGGAAAAGTACTTGCATTTTTTCCAGTTACTTCATGCATTTTTCTACTTCTGCAATTGTAGAAGTTGTTACAGTTAATGATAATACTAAACTAATACTGGAAAAACAGACATGTTGGAAACTGCAATTTTACACCACTGTTAGTTTACTTTTTTTAAATACACTTGGTTTCCAGGAGACTCCACCTTTAAACAATTGTTCAGTTTTTTGTGACTAGCAATTTAAACAGCCCTATATTGTTCTGTTGTCATATTCCATTACTGAATATATGATTACAAGATAATGCATTCTGATCTTCTCTCTTTTTTTTTTTTTTTTTCCCTCTTTCCCCAGTGAAAAGGCAGAGTCTGAAAGTTCAGATCAATGCAACAGATGACACTGTTTGCATGAGATACCTTCGACCAAGTCAAAACACTAAACTAGAAGGTTTTGTCCTGGGTTATGGAAGCAACTTCTTCTCTAATCAGTACATTCCTTTACCTTCGGAAGGCAAAACCTCCATAACAGAACTTGGTAAGGCATATTTGCTTTCCATCCTACTGTTGTCATGAATTGTGGGAAGAGAGTGAGGAGAACGTGAACCTTGGCGTTTCCTAATTTTTGTTTTTATTGGGTTGTTGCTCAGGTTTTGTTTGTGTTTGTTTAAGGTTCCCTAAAAGAATTTCAGATGCAAGTGGAATTAGGAGATCCTTCAAGGAGAACAGATAGTTCTCGTTGTTTGTAGAGTTCAGTATTTGTTTTGAGGATTTTCATTGTACTATATTGACCACATCACAGATCAAATGGGATGATTTCCCTAAAGCCGCAGTTACAAAGTAGAATACAAGGGAGATGTGCATGTTTCTAACAAATAGTAGAAGAAGCAATGAAGCAGTTTTGTGAGCTGTGTCGCTGATTCCCTGATTTGCTAGAAATGTTTGTATCAAAATGATGCCTTTTCTGGCAGAAGCCTATGGCAGTTCTACATGTTATAGAATAACCTGTAACTTCTGTTTCAGAAGTTATGGAAAGTATTCCATGAGCTGTTGTATGGCAGAGATTAAGCCACATCAGGAATGTTGCATCCTGTTTCCTGGAATAGGGAGGAAGAAAATTTGGTTGTCCCTTAAGTTTGGGATTATGTCAGTATGGGCAGGACAGAAAAATGGTAAAACTAGCTTAGTTAGAATTGTCTGATAAACTATTAAAACATTGAATTACCAGAATTTGACCATTTAAGAAATTTGTTCAATCTCTGAGGTTTTTTCTGTTGCTTTCATTGATGATTTCTAGCCTGAAATGAATCAGGGTTAACCTCATCATTCTAATGCCAGTGATCTTGGTGTAAAACAAGAGGGGAAAAAAGGATGCATAAGTGCCAAAAATGGCAAATGCCAATCGCCATCTTTTTGATGAGGTGAGTTAAAGCAATTCTGAAGATCTGCTACAGGCTGAAAACTGCAGAATAAAAAAGAATAAATAAGATGTTACAGACAGAATAATTAAGATTTTGGAGACTTCCATTAGATCACTGTAGCAAAGGTTGACTTTTTCTTTTTCATGATTTGTTATTCCTGGAATCTCTTCATAATTCTATCACCAATCCGGTGTTTGAGTTCATAACTGTTACTTAAGCTGTGTCTGGTTTATCTGATTTATCCCTTGTGTAACTTTTGAATCATTTCACTAAGAACAGTGTACAAGATTTTCTGTAGAATACTGTGTGTTGGGCATAAGTAATACCTGATGAGCTCTATTGCAGGAGCAGTGAGGTTTACTACTTTTTAGGTACTCTGGGATCCTTGGAAAGAGGAAAAAGCACTGAATGTAATGTCATGTGTAGACACTTCCTATCTAATAGCAGCTTTAATCCCTAATATTTAGTGAAACTGTATGAAAACAGAAAGCTGAACGTCACCTGTAACATAAAATTTGGGATTTTGTAACTTTAATGTTAATAGCTAATGGCTGGAAACTGTAGACACCTTTCTTTAGTTCTGCAGTGTATCAGAGTGCTAGCCACATGCATATTCATTAAAGCTTACCATTAAGGAATCAGAATCTTGTGGCAATGAACGCAGAAGATGAGAAACTCCACGACACATACAGCCTATAATGAACACATTTTCTCTAGTGTATCTGGAGAGGGAAAAGCACAATGTTGGGGAATACTCACCTTTTTCTTTTTAATTATTTATTTTAAAGGAGAGTAAATTCAAACTTTTAACTCAGTCTTGCTAATATGAGTTGTCAGTCAGTTTCCTAGTGACAGTGAATCTATGAATGTGACTGAGTGAGTGTCCAGTATTTCCTAGTGACAGTGAATCTTTGAATGTGAGTGTCCAGTATCTAAAAATGTAATGTGCAACATTACTAGGATTTCCAGCTTTAAGAAAATGTCATCTTTGAAAGGACAGGAATAAAGAAAATAACAGCAATATGTACTTCAAATCACAAGCATTTATTTAAGGCAATTAACAGTACATTTATTGGAGCTATTACTTTTAGTTAAGAGATTTAGGGTTAGATTATATGCTTTATGGACTTGTTTATTGGAGTTTGGAAGCCGAGACTATATCATCTTTTCCATTTTAGGGGGTTGGACTAGATGACTTTTAAAAGTCCTTTCCAACCCAAGCCAATCTATGATTCTATGATTTGATTAATATTAAACACCACGTTAAACTGCAGCTTTGACTGTACTTTCCAAGTGTGCACAGAACACGAGCTAAAGCAAGAAACATTAGTTGTGCATTTGGCTCTGTTTCAGAGTCACTTGTGTGGCAGAAGTGAAGAGAAGACAGTGGTGATTGCGAGCAGCCCGCACAGTTTCAGGGACTGGCTGCTGGCACAAACTGGAGGAATTGCAGGATGGTTCTTAGTTTTAGGAATAACGGTTAGGTTTTTTTCTGGCAGCCAGAGAACTCAGCTGAGCACACACTATGTGGATGTTGGAAAAATAAGGTATTATAGAGGGACAATAAAAATACTCAAGATATTTTCCAAAGATACAAATCCTTTAGACCTTATTGCTGAAAAATCTTACATTATCTTTGTACTCCTCATGTACACATCTCACGTGATGAAGTTGGCCTGGTATGCCGTCTTCATGTTAAAACGATACATTTTTAAAATGTCACACTAAAAATTGTCTGTTCCGTATTCTAGGTGATCTAGTGATTCAAGTGCCACTGTATACCTTGCAAAAAGTCTTCAGTGGGTTCCACACATTTTTCCACAATCAGAACAACTAAGTTTATACAAAAATATTCACGTTCACCTTGAGAATTCTTCCTTGGTCCTCTCATGCTTTGGCTTATCTGACTTTTACAAAAAGCAGATGAACTTTACAGGCTGCCCTGAACAGTGGTTGGTTGTGGCTTTTGCTGAACAGGATGTGGAGAGAGTGATTCTTAAGTGTGAAAAGACATTGTGGCCCGTTTAGACCAAGACTGACACAATTTAATGCTCCCTCCTCTCCTGTCTAGTGGTTCATGGAAAAAGAATACCCTTCCTAGTCAACTTAGGGACTTTGATCACAAACTTAAACTGTTTTGGTAGCTGAAGTGTAAAGATTAGAAATGGAGATTTAAGGGTGTTCATTAGTTACTAAAAGGTATATTTTCCTGATGGCTTAAGGAGCATTGCTTTAGAATATAATGTCTTGAGTGACTAGATCCAGGAGTTTGGAATCTCTGTATCTAGACAAAAGTGGGTCTTGTCCTAGTAGTATTAAAATTCTCTATTCAGTGAAGATTTGTAAGTGAAAATGGTACAGAGATGCAATCAACTGTACACCCTACTCAAAGAAAAAAAAAATCATTTCATAAATTTAGTAGTTAGGCCAATGTAAGAAAACATACAGACTTTGAATCTAAGTAAGTCATCATTCCCTTCCTAAAATGCATCCATCCTTTGAAATGTCCTTTGGCCTTTCTAACAAACAGTACAGTTCTACACAGCAGAATGAAGTGCCTTGCAGTCATTTCCTCAATTTAGCTCTGTTAATGGAGCAGCATAATTGGTATTTTCTTCGGGATAATTGTCATTGGTTGGAACTGGAGTATGGGGAATGAAGCAATGACTAATTTATTTTTTTAATAGATGACACAATACACACAATAATATTTATATATAAGGCCCACGATTTCCATGATTTCCATATTTACAACCCTGTTGCTGTTGATTAATGTGAAGTTTATTGTCAGATTTTCTGCTGGGTCACATGCTTCTATGAGTCTGTTAACAATAAACTTGAAGTCAACAGATTTATTAGTTTATGGAATTACATGTGTATATGTGCATATATTTTAAAAGAAATGACTCAAGGATGTGATCTTTCCTAGGATTTCCAGGAGAGTTATAGGGCTTTGTAGAAAGTGTGACATCTGCCTACATTTCATCCATTAAGATATTCAGCACCTCACTGCAGTGATTCTTATCTTAAAAGATTTATTTTCCCCTCTTTTTCAACTAAAATAATAACTGAGCCAGCACTTGTGTAACATTATCCATGAATTGGGAACTGCCTGCAGAGAGCATGTACAAAGAGAAAAGTTCTGTTGGATTTCCAGAACTTGTAATGAGCTTACACTGGCAACAAACTCTTGAGCAGCTTCATGAACTGCTAGATAGATAAATTTCAATCACAGCAAAGGGTAAATGACGATGAGGCAACATCAAAATTTGGTTTAAAGAAGTATGCCTTTTTATCAGAATACAAAATGTGTTTTCTTTTGTGCTAAGTGTGTTTTATGAGCTTACAAGATAGTAAGCGACATTATTATTGGTCATGGAAGTTATTCAGACTGTGTCAAAAGATATCAAAATGTAAATTCAGCTAGACTAATAAATAAGGTGAACAGACCCATCCAAAAGTTCTCAGCTTGACTTAAGTCTTTATCTAAATCTGTTTGGTCTGCATGACTCATAAATAAAGAGTATTTCCTTGAGAAATTTGTGCTAGTTTTTTCTAACTTGGTTAGGAAGTTTGCAAGTCAGCCTCCTTGAATTTGTTGATACTGTTGTAGGAGCCCAAAAAATTGGATGGAGACAGGAAAATTTTGTAAGAATGAACAGCAATTAGCTAACAGAGTGAACAAAATTCATTTCTTTTTCAATTTCTAAAACCAGCTCAGAGCTGGGCCATACTTGGGCCTTTCCTTTATGTGAACCAGGTTGTACAGTGTCAGAGGAGAATGTATTGGAAATCCTGCTTTATAACCATAATAAGTGATGGGTGAATTTTGCATATATATAGGGAATAATTCTAGTACCATCTTGAACACATTTTAGAAAGTATAATGCGGGGATGTGTGCTGGAGCAGTACTTAGCTAAACGATCTTACTGTGCAGTTTCTTGCATTTGATCGATTCCCAGAAATGTGTAGATGTATTAACCACATGGTTTTCAAGATGCCAAATGTGAAGATTAGCTCAGAAGTATGTCGCTTCCTAATAACTTAACAAAAAACATCTTCTTATTGCTGATGTTAGCTCAGCATAGTGGACTGGAGGACCTAAAGGAGGTCAGCAGGAGCACCTTCAGCTGGACAAATGTACTTATTAGCAGCAGGTTCATCCACACCAGCCCCTTTGTTCCCTTTCTTTGTCTTTTCCCATGCTTTTTACACCACAATCCACTCTGATCCCTTCCTTTCTTCACCTTTGGCCTTAACAACAACCATAGTGAGTCTTTAGCAAACCCTAAATTCAGATTAGAGTATTGCAGCCTGAAGCTAAAAATTACTTTGTTTTGATTTCTGAATCTGCTGGTGTATGAATTCTAATGATGCACTGTAACACTTTATTTTATAAACATTTATTGAAAGTTCATTAGTGCATCATTAGAATTCATACACCAGCAGACTCAGAAATCAAAACAAAGTATTTACTACACTTCTCCTTTCCCAGTCCTTTCCACTTGCAAACTACCCAAACACGATGGCCTTGGGCTCCAGCAGCAACTAATAACAATAGTATGTTGTCAACATTCTTCTCATAACACATCCTACACTAAACCAAAACACAGCTCTTCTAAGAAGAAAATTAACTCTATCCTGGCAAAACCAGGTCACTCCTGAAGCTGTTAAGATGGATAATACACCTTTTTTTCTTTTAATAATTTTATATAATTAATATTACAGAATCTTAGTCAAACAGTTGGGGTTTTTTTTTCTTTTGTAATGATGGCAAAGTGATGGTTTACTTCTGTGCAACTTTGCAGTCTTTGAAATGTCATAATTTTATTTTAGAAATGCACTTGTCTTTTAAAATATTTCAGTGTAAATAGTTGGTACATTCCGTGAATCATAATGACACACAGTCAGAACCCCATATTTTTTTGGCTCTGACAGTCATCTTTCTGCTCCCTGTCTTTTATTTCAGCAGTTAAATTAATTTATCCCTTAAGTATTATGATAAAGTAGCACAAGCTAAATTATGATTTATTTAGGTTTTAGTATTTCATAGCATTTTATTTTTCTCCTCCAATGTTACTTGATTTTCCCCCAAAATCCTGCATGGATCTGTAGAGTGGATTATGCATATACAGGCATCATAAGGGAATGCAGATGGTCATAAATAGTTCTTGCAAGTTGGCAGCATTTAATACATGGGTGAGGCAATGTTTTAAGCCACTGAAAATGAATTGAGTTGTAGTAGCATCAGATGATTTTCATGTTGCTATGATGATTGATGCATATATTTCTCAGCAAGAGGACTGAATTGGTGTGAAAGCTCAGTGGCTTTCTAAACTTAATAAGAGAAATGTTAAATTGCAGTGGAAGACTAAGAAAGAACTCCCTTTTCTAAACCTGAATCAGGGCTCATTATATGAGATTAAGCAAGCTGTCCACCTTTCTTGGTTTCAGTTTCCTTGGGTATAGAATGTAACTCTGTCCAGAATAGAAGCATTTCAAGGCCTGTGTTCTTCAGTCCGTGCGTAATGCTGTGGTACTGTGTGTCAAACAGATGAATTTAAGTTAAACTACAGTTTCTGTCCTCTTAAAACCTATATAGTAGCATGGGTGATTCTGCTCAGGAATGGCAAATTATATTTCTAAATTGAGATATATTTTTAGTTGAGTTAAGAACAGAACTGTGGTGTTGCATCCCAGGTATTGAATGTACTCCTGTGGTAACTTCAAATTCAGACTTTACTTATAATGGTCATAATATTGTCTTAAATTCATTGGTTTTAAACCAGACAAGTGGTACTTTTTAAACTTGCTGTTCTGTAGCAGAGCTCTCTCAGCATCTAGTCTTAGCTTGTTTTCCTAAACACTTCCTTTTATAAACACTTCCTTTTATAGATTGTGTTACAATCAGAAGAGCCATGAGTTCCCTGGGAAATGGGATGTGTTGTATCCTTTATTAAAGCAACATTTGTTAAATCCCCAAATAAGTTTAATGAAGAGCACTCAACACAAAATGTTCCTGCTGAGAGCACTTTGTTACAGAACACCTGTTAGAACTAATGATTCGTGATGAATACCAAGTTTTATAGCTTTGAGATGTGCAGGGATTTTTCTAGTGATGGAGCAGGGAAACACTAGCTGTTTCAAAGCATTTGAATAACTTTCTTTCAGAATCTTTGGACGTTTTGTTGATGAAAACATATATTTTTGCAGTTTTGAAGGGTGACTTAGTAGTTCATGAGATTTCAAGGTGATGCTTGAAACCAATTTTATTGAAGTTAAGATTGCTCAATACTTTGCAAGCGTTCTAACAGTCTCACAAGTGGGCATGAATGAACAGCGGAAAACTGGGATTAAAGTACAGGGAAAACAAATGATTTTGAAATGTCACTTATTTCTAGTTTTAAGTCTCAGTACAAAAAATGTCCAGATGATTGCACAGATCCCAGATGAACTGTGTGCCACCCTAAATATTAAAAAAAGATATCTTTAAAGTGAAAAGTTATTTGCACTTTGGGGTTGCTTTGAACTAATTATTTTTTCCACACTGCTTTGAGCAGCTGTTTTCAGTGCGCATCTTAGTTATGTTTGTATTGGGTGCACTTGAAACTCATTTATAAAAAATAACTAAACAATGAAAGTACACCCACAGTATGGGTTTCCAGTGACCTACATGCACAGAATCAGTTATTAGAGTGGTTTTCCCCACACTGGCACAGCATTTTGAGTAACACAGCAAGCTTTTGGTTTATTCAGTGCTGGTTTTCCTTCCTCTGACCTTACAGAAATCTGAATGTAAGAGGAAATTGAATTATTTCTCAGTGGTTCTGTTTAATTGGTAGACTTCAAGGTATCTGTTACACTGAGATAGGCAGGAAATTCAGTCTGTCATCTGTAGATACAGATTTAGATAAATGTATCTAAACTAGAATAAAAATTTTACATAGAATAATCCTTTTCTTAAAAAACCCTGTAGCTAAAGTAAATTTGATCAGTATATGGTGAGCCAAATTCTGCCCATGGATATCTCTTCGGAAGCTCCTATCACTTCTTTTTGTAGTGTTGTAGTTTGGAGAGTTGAGCTTGGTTTTAAATAATTAAGAAGGGCAGAAATCTTGACATCCTGTCGTCAAGAGTAAGAGAAAAATCTTCTTTCTTGAAGATGAATTCCCCAAACTAAAATCACCATCTCAATATTGTTTTAATCAAAGCATTTATGATTTCAAGCTGCAGAGTGAAGTTATCTGCCTTTCACTGCCAGAAACATGAATATATCTGAACTTGTGTCCTCTTACCATGTGCGCTTGTGTCATCCAAACTGCATCAGATGTCTCTCAAATGTGTTGGAGTTCCTGTAAAACTTGATTTGCTTCATTTCATTATTTCCTATGAAGACTAGTATTGCCAGAAGTTTTCCAAGCTGGTTCACAACTGAACTGGCAGCCAGCTAGCAATGACTCTGCATCCTTTAGAATGGCTGCAGTTCTTGTGTACTTTAAAAGAAACTTAAGCTATTCAGGTAAGGTTGAACTGAAAAACAAAAACTCTTGTCTTTGGAAGGGCTTTGCACTTTTTTCACTCTGTAATATGATCTATTCAGTTAGCTTCTTGAAATGAAGCAGTTGAACCTTTTCTGGGAAGTGACACAAAATAGTTTGAACTGGAGTTAAGATGGACAGAGATTCTTTCCTTTAAAAATTTTAAAAAATGTTTAGCAGAGATTCATTTTCATTGGAGAAAATGCATATGGGTTAAAATTAAAATAAATGTAAATGTCAGAAGGTCTGTGAAATAAAATTTGCTTCTGAGATTAATGTATTAAATAAGAAAATAACTTAAAACTATTGCTCTCCTGTTCTGTGCAACATTATTTCTAATGTAACGGTAACCAGAGATTCCAGTCAAAGTCACAACCCTTTGTGGATTTTACACAAATATTAGTCCCTAACTCTTAAATCTTAATAATAACTTTGCTTTCATAAAGAGTATTCCAAACTGTCAAAGCACTTAATAGTTAAATCTCATCATAAGTCTCTGGAAAAAGTATGTAAATCTAATTATAAAACAAGCCAGTAACCAAAGTGGGGACTGTCTTAAACACGTCTGACACTGTGTTGTTTCCTACAACCAGACAATCATGCAAATCCTGAATAATTTAGTATTTTTTGGATTATGTGCTTCTAAGTGACCAATGCATTTTTTTATTCTTTTTACAATATATCAGCTCTTTACCAAGAAACTGCTTACAGTAGGAAAAATAAGGTGTGTAGCCTGAAACAGAATATATTCTAGGAAAAGTTCCTCCAGCTCCTACCAGGAGAGTAGAGATCTGTGGTTGTACTCTTCAGGCTTTGCCCTCTTACTTTACCTGTTTAACACTTCTGTTTTGCCATCACCTCTTCCTTTTAATCTTGGTGTTCATTCCCCTTCACTTTCCAAATAATATTTACGTCGGAATGTCCTGCCATATTCACCCGTGTGTCGTGTCTCAATCAAAAAGAATTGCCAAGTCTTTTGTGCATGGGTGCATTATTTTTCCTAATGGCTAGAATTTTTCTGAATAATTGATGAACATGCTGAACGATCACAAAGATTGGATAGTGTGTCAAGTTTTCACTGAATATTGGACTTTTTCTTATGAATTATAGGTTAATCCCCTTCTCAAATTAGTAGCACGTCTGTACTAATTGTTGCTTTCTCCATTTACAGATGCAGAGCCACGGTATTTGGTTTCAGTCAGACCAGCTCGCGTTTCAAATAACAAGAAATCTTGTTCAGGTATTTTACCATTACTGCATCTTGTTCTTAAAGTAGTTAAAGGAAGACAGAATATTTTACTGGATTTCTCTGGAAAGATATTCGTAACTTAGGTGTCTGACAAATGCACAAATTCCACACCTGGAAAGGTAAAATCTAGGACAATATTTCCTAGTCAGTAATTAGTCACGCAGGTGCTGTTCAAAACATGAAGAAATACCTAAAGATTGTTCCTGTAAAAAGTTCTCACAAATTATGATTGAAATTCAGAATACTAATTTCTGAAGTTTAAAGAGGTCACAAGTGCTTGCAAAAAAAGTAAAAGTTTCTCTTCCCAAACTATTACTGCTAAGATTCCTTCACCTGTGGACACATTAATGCTCTTTGTTTCTCTTTGGAAACTGTGACTTGTGTGTGTGTGTGTGTATATGTTTCTGTAAATCGATGCTACTACTAAGTTAAGGAAAAGGGGATGTTTCTAGCTTATTCTATACATAGCAGAGCAGAAATCTGAATTTGATTCTTGTCCGTTCCAAAGACTTTCTATGTGACAAAGAATAAACTCATAGTATATACGTATATGTTTATAGTTTGAAATCTTTATATTATTTTTTTTCTAATTCCTGGTAACTGCTTGGGATTAATTTCTTCTTGCTCTTGGCCAGATGTAAAACAGTATGAAAAGTGATCTGCCTTTCAGATACATCTCAAAAAACACAAAACCAAAAAAATTGCCTAATGCACTGTTTGGACATTATTAATTTTTGTATCTACAGTCTACAGAAACTGATTTGTGGAACAAGATTTAGATAATTGACTGTTCAGTCCAGTCAATAAGTTCAGTCCAGCAGACAAAGGTGTAAGAACAGCTGTTATCCACATATATGGCAAATCTTTAGTAGTGAGAATAGTTAGACTAGACACATTATCAAGAATTCTGGTGGAGTCTGACTTGCTTCAATTTCAAATGTACAAATGAAGACTGGTTACATTTCTAGAAGATACACTGTAGTACAAGCTGCAGTTAGTAAAAAGGAGTTGTATGAGTTGTATTCAGATCAGCATAGATGATCACTAGGGTAATTCCTGGTTTTACAGTGTATAAATCATTGCAGCTCTAACTGGGAACTAATGGCGTAATAAGAGACATAATCAAAATCATATGTAGGTCCTCCCAAAAACCTGTATGATTTCATGCTATATGAGAGTTTGTTTTTTCTTTTCCTTAAAGCTCACATATTTTCCATATTTCATCAAAAAGTGATCAAGAAAGGGATCTTGCTATAGATGGCAGATTTGCCAAATAGTTTGGTGAATGATCAAGCTGTTTGTTTTAAGTTTTTCTTTAAAAATGAGGAAAGAGGAACTGGTCCAGAAAACAAGAAAATTACTTGGACGTTTGCTCTTGTGGAAGTATCATATGTTCCACAGTATATCAAAGCATGTCATACTTCCTCTTAAAGGTAGAGAGTGGTTTTGTTTGTTTGTGGGGTTTTTCCAGCAATGTATTCATCATCAATAGAAAGTAAAAACCATCATCAATAGAAAGTAAAAACTCACACGGTTAGTGTTTCTAAATGTACACACGTTTCTAAATGTCCTGAGCTCTCTGTAACACCTTCTGTGATGCAGTCCAAGACAGCCAGAGCCAGTTAATCTGCATAGAGTTTACTCTCATACTAAGCATACCAAAGCCACCCATTGTTCACTTTCAAAAACTAGCTTTAAATGGAGCATAGGCTGAAAAAAGAGAATTAGAGAAAACTTATAATAAGACAAAATCAAAATAAAGTCTCCCTCCTACCCACCAAATAATAGCAAGAATTTCTCTAGCTTTGCTCTGGATCTGCAAATCTGTAAGTGAAGTCTTCCACTTTCTTCCTAGGTTGAAGTACATGCTGCACAACTCCAGAGGGGACCTAAAAAACAATCTTTCTGAGACTTGTGTGTCTGGTGCCTTCTTTTTTAAGCAGTCTCCAAATCTGTGCTGCTGCTGCCTGCTAGCTGCATCCTCCCTTCTTTCATGCCAGCTTTCTTCTGCACTTCTTTCCTCTCTTTAAGCTCAATTGGCTTCAGAGAAGAAGCAGTCTCTGTTCCTTGCAGATGTTTCACTTGCCTCAATGAGAAAACAACAAACAGATGACAGTCACTGTCTCTGCCTCCCCTTTTTAAATCATACATTAGAAATGGTGACTGTGAAAAAGGGAGAGAACTGTTTTACCTTTACCTTCAAATTTATAAAAGAAGCAGGTCTTCATTTTCTTTTTATCTAACTGCAAAAAACTTTCCCCTACATAATTCAGGAGAGAGAAACTAACTTGTAATTGGAATTTTGTTTCTTACCTAGGTCGAAACAAAACTCAAAAGCCACTGCAGCTGGTAGTTGGCACTCTGACCCCTACCTCTGTGTTCCTCTCTTGGGGCATCCTAGTCAACCCTCAACATGACTGGACAGCAACAAGTAACTGTGCTAGCGACAGGTAACATAACAGAAAACTGTTTTTTAATGCTGATCATTATTTAATTCAGTGTAGTTATCTAGTGTTGCTGAAATAAATTTGACAGTAGAAACTGAAAAGTTGGAAACAGTAGTTCTTAATGTGAAGTAAGTTTTCTCTTTTACTTAAATCAGTGCTTTGCAAGCCTTTACTTGTTTTTAGTGCAAATTTAGTCAGACATCTACATGTTGAAGTACAAATCTTGTTGTTTCACATTAGATCCTTTGTTCTTCTTAAATGAATGGTCTTGGATCTACCTTCATTTGTATCTGAATTAGTTGAAAGAAACTTTGTTAAATCATAGAAAATATACTGGTTTAAAGTTGGCCAAATAGAAATAAGTAAAATAAGTAAATAAAATAGGTAAAATAAGTGGTTTGTTGTGCTATGGTAGGAGGCAATGATGCCTTGTTTTAATGCTATTTAAATAATGTTTAAATGTTTTCTGTATTTGGCCTCACTGCTACACTGCTTGCCTGATATTGATACAGTACACCTCTCATTAGTTTCCTGTTGTAAGTTAAATTAGATCTACTATAAATTTCTGTTTTACTGTCATTATTTTATGAGTGGTAGAGTAGGTGGGGAGCTCAGGAATACTCACCAAGTAGCAGTTTCAAGAGAAGTCATAGTGGTGGGTGGCTTCTCAGTTAAGTGCACCGTTACATTTTAGGCAACTCTTGGCAGATAAATAAAATTAATCTGCTGCAATTATTGAAATTGTTAATACAGATATTTTCCCTGCTCTGTCATTTTGGTGTTCTCTTATTATTCTTCCTTTTATGACAGAAGAATTCTTTTTCTTCATTTACATCCTGTGAAGCTCCATTCAACTCAGCAGTGTTTTGTAAAACCAAGAAGAAACTTGGTGTACCCATGTTTAAGATGCATCTGCATCTGGTTTAAAACTATCTTCTGGGGTTTTTTTACATGCATCTTTGCATTATTCGTAACACTTCCCCTCCCCATCTGTCTAGTTTTTGTTTAATTTTTAGCTGTCTAAATTAGACTTGAATCTCCTTACTTTGGTGTTGATAATAAAACTCCCATTGATAGCATTAGACTGAATGTCATAGATTACGTTAAAAAGTGCATTCCATGTAGCCAATATGACCTTTTCCTTACCTCCCAGAAGTTTTGGACTAACCCTTTTCAAGCTTCAAAAAATTCTCATGAACAAATTTAGATCTTCATCACCAACCAGAATTTCAAACACTATTGAAAAATGACACTAATGTTTTATTATGAAATTGTAATGAATATTAGGAAATCGTAGAATCACAGAATGTTCTGAGTTGGATGGGGCCTTTAAAGGTCATCTAGTCCAACCCCCCTGCAGTGAGCAGGAACATCAACTAGATCAGGTTGCTCAGAGCCCTGTCCAACCTGACCCTGAAAGTTTTCAGAGATGAGGCATCTACCACCTCTCTGGGCAACCTGTGCCAGTGTTTCACCCTCACTGTTAAAACATTTTTTCTTTCTATGTAGTCTAAGTCTACTCTAATTTTAGTGAAATGTTGTCAGGCTGTACTAAAGTACTGGCTGTGTATTTGCCTTTTGCTCCCATCCTTTTGCTGCCTTCTTGCAGCCCAGACAACCAACCATTTCCTGGGCTGCATCAAGAGAAGCGTAGCCAGCAGGTTGAGGGCGGTGATTCTGCCCCTCTACTACACTCTTGTAAGGCCCCACCTGGAGTGCTGTGTCCAGTTCTGGAGCCCCCAACATAAGAAAGACATGGACCTGCTAGAACGAGTCCAGAGGAGGCCACAAGGATGATCCGAGGGCTGGAGCACCTCTGCTATGAGGACAGGCTGAGAGAGTGGGGGCTGTTCAGCATGGAAAAGAGAAGGCTCCAGGGAGAACTTCTAGTGGCCTTCCAGTACCTGAAGGGGCTACAGGAAGTCTGGGGAGGGACTTTTTGTAAGGGCACTTAATGATAGAACAAGGGGAAATGGCTTTAAGCTGAAAGAGGGGAGGTTTAGCTTAGATATTAGGAAGAAGTTCTTCACTGTGAGGGTGGTGAGACACTGGAACAGGTTGCCCAGAGAAGTTGTGGATGGCCCCTCCCTGGAAAAAAAAAATGGATGAGGCTTTGAGCAACCTGATCTAGTGGAAGGTGACCCTGATCATAGCAGGGTTGGAACTGGATGATTTAAGGTCCCTTCCAACCCAAACCATTCCATGATTCTATAAGAGGACTTGCCTATGAGAGTCTTATTGTTAATTTTGTTTGAATATCTCCCTGTACTTCAACTCTAAAGATATACTGACACTCATGAGTCACTGGTTTAAAAACATATGAAATTACAAATGTTCATATCAAAGTATGGGTATATACCTATAAGCAGATTTCTATTTTGCAGGTAAGTATAATGATAAAGTTAATGAAGGGAAAACAAAAAATTAAATGAATCATAGAATCATAGAATAGATTGGGTTGGAAAAGACCTCCAAGATCATCAAGTCCAACCCCTGATCCAACTCCAATTACTATATCATGGCACTAAGGGCCACGTCCAATCTCTTTTTAAAAACCTCCAGGGATGGTGAATCCACCACCTCTCTGGGCAGGCCGTTCCAGTGCCTGATTACCCTCTCTGTAAAGAATTTCTTCCTAACATCTAACCTAAACCTCCCCTGGCAGAGCTTGAGCCCATGCCTCCTTGTCCTATTGTTGGTTGCCTGGGAGAAGAGACCAACCCCCACCTGGCTATAACCTCCCTTCAGGTAGTTGAAGAGAGTGATGAGGTCACCTCTAAGCCTTCTCTTCTCCAGACTAAACAACCCCAGCTCCCTCAGCCTCTCCTCACAGGACTTGTGCTCAAGTCCCTTCACCAGCCTCGTTGCTCTTCTCTGGACCCGATGCTCATATTTTGTTTGCCTTTACTGGACCAAAATGCTTGTGATTTGTATAAATGATGAGAAAACTTTTCCACATGACCATGACATGTATTTCTATAATTCCAAGCAGAAACTGATTCAAATCTATTTTAATATTTAGTCCGTGTATGGAAGAAAAATTACTAATTTATTATAATAATTTGAATGAAAATGTATGATAACAAAAAATTAGAAGGTAGCCCATCCTTAGGAAATTAGCATCATGTTAAAAGTACAAGACTTAAAATCAGATAACAGATTCATCATTTGTATCTGTTGCAGGGGCACTCTACTTCACTCGATCCTTACTCATCTGACATGTTCTCCTTACTGTGACATGTTGAAATGTACTGTTATTCATCCTCAAGACTGTTGTGTAGTGACTAACGTCTAATCTCTGACATTGGCAGTATGTGGCAATTACGACCTCTTAGCTCAGTTCTGTCAGCTAATATCCCACCAAGTTTTAGATTTGTAACTCTCTATGACCTGAAATGGAGTCACTGTTCTGGGCCTCAGATTTTACCATCTCCGGATGGACCTTAGGCTTTCATACAAATGTTGCATAATATAAGTTAGTTAAATATGTTACTGACTCAGAAGATAAAAACCATGTGCAACAGCATGGATCTGTTGGCCAAGATTTTCTCTAGTATGAGTCTGACCTCAGTGGGATATTCCTTAGAACTGGTTCTGTGAGCAAACAAGTGTCCTGATTTTGCTGGAATAGAATCATAGAATTAATTCTCTGTTAGAAAAGCTGCATTTTTAGGAAGACTGCAGAGCCCAATCTGGTGAGAACAAAATTGATAAGACACTGGTTTAGTTTGTGGTCAGCCATGGTATGCAGGTTTCCATAGTGATTGAGGTCTTTAGCAGTTTAGAGTTAGCCACATGCTAAGGCTAGGAGGAGCGAAAGCCAGGGCAACTGAGCCAAGCTGGCCAACAGAAGTATTCCATACCATAAATGTCACGCTTGCTTTAAACTGGAAAGTTTGCTAGGGATGACCCTTCTTCCTCAATGGCTATCATCCCTGGAAGGTCTTGCCCATCATTCTGTTCCCAAGGCCTACTCTCCTAGTTGTTGTGATTGTTGTGCTTTCGTTGACTGGGTATAACTTTGTGTATTTTACATTAGTATTAGTATTAATATTAGTTCTTATTATCATTTCATTAAATCTGTTTTCATTTCAACCCACAGGTCTCCTTTCCTTTTCCCAATTCCTTTTCACAGGTGGGGAGGGGTCATTGGGTGGTAGAACAACTGACTAAACCAAGACAAGACAACGAGTTTTGAATAAAAGGCACCACATTCTCAAAGAGCATTGGTATCTTTTATTGCTTCAGTGAGATTATTGCTAGTTTATTGAGGCACCTAGTGTTCTTCTGTACCTACAAAGTGCTTTTCAAGAAACTCCAATAAAGAGAAGTTCTTGTGCCATTTTTTTTGACAAACCATTCTTTGGTTGCTTAACTCTCTACAGATTAAGGGCTATGTAGCGTGCTACGTATTTCCTGCAAGATATCCCCAAACTCTAATTCCCTGTGGAAGCAAAGATAATCACTGCCATTTGTGTAGACCAAAGTTCTTTGCAAGGTCAAATTTCAAAGCCTTCTCAAAGTGGTTGTCATCTCTGGTCAGAGCCTTAGCACTAGAATGCAAAACAAAACAAAACAAAGACCCAAACAAAAAAATACAAGCAATTAGTTTTATGAAACTGATTAAAACTTCATAACACCAGAAAGGTTCCACCAACAAGATGGAGTTAGCTTTCTCAGCATCTTCTGTTTTCTGACATCAGTATGAAGTAGTTGATGAGGGAGGATGGCAAATTCATGATAACCTGCTGCATAGTCATGTTCAGTTCCTCTCTTTATATTTCCAAGGGAGTAGAGAGACTTGTTTCCTCTCTGCCTCTCAGTGTTCAAACAACCATCAGTGAACAGAGCTGTCATAATAAACATGCTGGGGCTGTATTTACTGTCCATTTAGGTCTGAAAAAGAGTATAGACTATTGTATAGATTTTTCTTGACCTTTCCTTTGGTTAGAACAACTCCCAAAATAATCTCAAAATGGAGCGTAGGGTCAAAAAATGCAGAG